TTCTTACTGTGTGACTTCTCCTTTGACCTATGGGGCAGGGTTTTACAATTATTTGGCATAGAATGGGTCACCCCCCCCCCCCCCGGTTAAAGCCCTTCGAACCTACAATCTTGACTCAAGCTGGCCTAAGGCAGGAAGAATCCTGTGGAAGGCGACTATAGCTGCTACTATTTGGATAGTATGGCTAGAAAGAAACTTAAGAATTTTCCGAGGCTCTAAACTTCAAACCATGGCACTTTTGCAAAAGGTAACCACCATGGTTACCTTCTTGGCCTCCAACCATAAATTCTTTGCGGGAATTTCAGGGACGTTCTTCCTCTCACAATGGGGAAACATCCTTCATCACCAACCACTGGGGGTAAGAAGGTTAAGCAACTGGCTACCACCAACCCAAGGCGGCATCAAATTAAATTTCGACGGATGTTCCTTAGGGAACCTTGGCCCAGCAGGAGCAAGAGGAGTTTTCTGAGACCATGAAGGCGATATACTCCTAAGTATCTCCGAATATCTTGGCCTCAAGGACTCTCACCATGCGAAAGTCTTAGCCCTCCTCCTAGCTTTGAAAAAGTTCAACCCTTCTTGGGGCCCAAGCCTAATAGTTGAAGGTGACTCAAAAAATGTCATCTCTTGGGCTAGTCGAACAAGTGATCCTCCATGGTACTTGATCCCAATTTTTTACAAGGTCCACCACATTTGCAGGGTTATGAACGTCTGGCAACATACTTGGCGGACGACCAACGATCTCGCAGACCGGCTGGCGAAGGAGGGCGTTAGAAGTCGGGGTCAGGTTGCTCAAACCGGGTCAACATTCTTTTTTGCATTGGACCAGTGGACCACAGCCAAACATTTTTTGGCTCCCTTTTCATACATATCGCACTGTAATTTTTACTATGTATGGGCACTTATAAGCCCTATCTTTGGCATTTGCTTGTAAAGTGTTGTAAGGGGGTAATCTTATAACCCAATTTTTGTGTACGATCTGCTGACCTACTTTTACCGAGAATCCCGCTAGAGGGATCTCTCGGTTTATGTTACCTTTGTACTCCTCCGTTCTATAGCAATACAAATGTCAACATTTCTCAAAAAAAAACAAACAAAGTTCTCTATGTCTCCATGGATGTTACTTTCTTTGAATCAGTTCCATACTTCTCTTCTACAAGTCATGAGTGCTCTCTTCAAGGGGCGAATAAGATAAAGTTTAGTGAAGAGATCACATCACTAGTTCCCCTTCCTATTCCCGCACCACTTTTATCTAAAGAGAATGGTGTGCACCCAGAGAAGCAGCTGAAGACATTCCCAAGGGAAGACAATGGTACAATCCGAAGTTCTAAACGACTATACCTCAAATGGTAACCTGGAATCAGAAACTGTTCTTAACTCAAGTAATTCTTTCACCCTCTCATAGAATACTAATTTGGACTTACCTATTGCTATTCGTAAGGATACACGTTCTTGCACACAGCATCCTATAGGAAACTTCATATCTTACAATTCTGTGTCCTCTCATTTTGTCTCCATATCAGCTCTGCTTTTTGTTCGAATACCTTCTTGTGTTGCAAAGGCACTTTCACAACTCAATGGTAAAGCTACCATAGGTGACGAGATGCAAGCACTTGAGCGGAATAAAACATAAGAATGACCAACCTTCATATAGGGAAGAAGTTTATAGGATGTCAAAGGATATTCACAGTAAAATACAAAGCTGATGGCACCATTGAAAGGTATAAAGCAAGATTGGTCGCAAAAGGTTTCACTCAGACTCCTCGTCTGGATTACCATGACACTTTTGCTGATGTGGCCAAGTCGAACATTTTGTGAGGATCATTCTTTCACTAGCTGCTAATAAATCTTGGCCACGGCATCAAATAGATATAAAGAACGCCTTCTTGCATGGAGATATCCAAGAAGAAATCTATATGGACATGCATCCTGGTTTTCAGATTAAGGGGGACACATGAAAGGTGTGCAGGTTAAAGAGAGCAATATATGGACTTAAGCAGTCTCTTAAAGCGAACCTCCAAAAAAGAAAAAAAAAGAATGAAAAACTTTCTCCTAAAGCATGGTTTAAAAATTTAGTGATGCATTGCTGAAATTCAAAAGGAGTCAAGCCGATCATACACTCTTTGTGAAGAAGAATAGTGTTGGAATTACAACCCTTCTATTGTGTATGTTGATGATATTGTTGTGACAGGGGATAATGTGAAGGGCATTGAGGATCTTAAATCTTATTTAAGCAAGGCATTCGATATCAAAGATTTAGACCCCTTGAGTATTTTTTGAGAATTGAAGTGGCAAGATCAAAGAAAGGGACAGCCATCTCCCAGAGAAAATATGTGCTGGACTTGTTACAAGAAACAGGGATCTTGGGATTTAGACTAGTGGATACTCCTGTAGAAGTCAATCATAGACTTCTTGGAGAAAGGGGAGAGTTACTAAAAAATCCTAACTTGTATCAACGAATAGTGGGCAAAGCTGATATACCTACATAATATACATCTCTTATGTGTTTAGCATGGTTAGACAATTTATGCATGCACCACGTAAACCACATCTTGATTCAGTGTACAAAATATTAAGATATTTTAAGTCTACTCCAAGGAAACGGATATTCTCCAATTAAAGTTACTTTGATGTTGCTATTTACATTGATGCTGATTGAGCTGGTTGGCAAACTGATAGAAGATCCACAATTGGGTACCTTTGTTTTAGGAAACCTGGTTTCTTGGAGCAGCAAGAAATAAAATGTGGTGGCAAGATCAAGTGCTGAAGCAGAATACAGGGCAATGGCTCATGGTACATGTAATGTGGATCAAAAGTGTTCTTTTGATTTTGGGGTTACAGTTAAGCTTCCCATGACTCTATATTGTGACAATGAAGCAGTCATTCATATCGTCGAAGATCCTGTATTTCATGAAAGGACTAAACACATAGAAGTGGATTGTCACTTCATTAGAGAGAAGGTTTCTGCCAAGATCATTCATACTCCTTATATGAAGTCTAAAGATCAACTTCAGTATCTTCACTAAAGCTGTTGGACGGGACGGACTACACGATATCACAAGCAACTAGGCATGATTGATATCTATGCACCAGCTTGAGGGGGAGCATTGGAAATAAGATAATTAAGCTTTATTGTATTTGATGGGCAAAACTGTCTTATATCTTTTTTTAGGACTTATTTGTCCTATTTATCTAAGTAAGGGTAGTATTGTCCATAGATTGTAATTAGGTTAAAACATAATATAAATAAAAGATGTTGAATGTTGAGGTCACATTGGACCATCAAGCCAGTTTTCTCTTATCCTCTTCTCTATGTATCTCACATGTCTCTCACTCTCTCTGTCCTCTACTTCTTTATCTTCTTTCTTCTCTCTATCTCAAGATCCTATCTAATTGTTCTCTTTACACTCTTTTGATTACTCAAGATTATTTTTTAACTCTACCCTCCATGCCCTCCACTCAAAACTATTCGAACTAATATTAAAGTGTTGGGGGCCAATCGTGCAAACTCTGGGAAGCATGATTTCCAGGGCGTTTCGCCAATCAAAATATCAAGTCCAAACCTTACTTTTTCCCCATTTCCCACCCTAAGCCTAATACCCTCCCAGATAGATGAGCTCGCACTCCTAATACCACTTCATAACCCAGAAGTCCTCCCAGACCTGCCTGAGACCCTCACTTCCAACCCATCTCTTGCTTTGCTATACTTTAACCACAAGAGACCTCGCTACTGAACTATCCTCTTCAGTAGCACTCTTCCACAGTTACCGGGCCAAGAGAACTTTATTGGTCTGCCTTGACCTTCTCACGCCCAAACCTCTTAACTCCATTAGACTTGCACACGTATCCCATTTAACCAGGCAGTTTCCTTTCATCACTGTTGCATCCCCCAAGAAACTCCACCTGCAAAATCTTTCTAGCCTCTATGCAATACAATGTAGCATCTGAATTAGGGAAATAAAGATGTCTGATCTAATCAGAGTGTCCCTTCCAACAAAAGAGAAGAATTGTGCCTTCTGGGGTCCAATCGTCATCTGCTTTTTTTCACAACTGGATTCCACAGACACTTCCTGGGGGCTTCCCCAGACTCTTTCATGTCATTCAGGGAACCAAATAAATGTATGTTGTCCTTTTAGATCATCATATTTAATATGCTAACAAAAAAGAGAGGCATTCATCGGGATTATGAGCCTTATGCCATTGGCAAATATTTATTTTCCTTAACATATTCAGATGTGCAGTGGCTTTTCCTTCCCTTGAAATTTTCATTTGTGCAGGTAGTTGGCCTTCCCTTCAAATTATTAGAAGTGCAGCTGGTTTGCCTTCCATTAAAACGTGAAGTTGTTTAGGTGGCTTCCCCTTGTATATCTAATATCTTCCTGGGACTTAATACTTAAGAAAACAGGGTAAATGAAAATTTATCCCTCAGAAGATTTTGAATTGTTTCTCCCTTTACAGGAGCCATCATTCTCTCTCTGTTAAATCCTATGGTTGGATTGGACCTTACTGAACTCTCTTACTGGGGTTTATATTTGGGAGGGAGTATAAACAGTTCGGTTGGTTTAAATACGAACATTCTGCACTCTCTGCTTAATAGTACTTTTGCAGTGAAGTCCTTAGAATCAATCAATCAATGTTTATTATTCAGACTTTTGGATCTTTAGGTTCACTCAGAACAATGAAATGGATACTAAGCAAAGTAGAACAGCTAGAATCCTGTTTAAACTTCTCTTGTGAAAGTTGAGACCAATGTATTCTCTGTCCATCTCCTGCCAAGTGACTGCAGCTGGTTTGCTTGAATGAGTTCATGGTTCAAACAGTTGCGAAAACAGCTATGCTCACGAACCTTTATTTATTTCTTTTTACTGCTGTAAAAAAAAAGTTGCGACCAATATTTTGCAATGGTGTCTGCAATATAACTCTTTTATCTTTCTCAGTTAAGAATACTTGTTAAGATCTTGTTTTGGTATGAAAATTCTTTATTTATTGGGCTAATGTAGGATCAAGATGAACAAGGGAGTCAGTGGAGGTGGTCTTGGAGGTGGAGCTGGTGCTGTTGGTGGTTCTGCTGCAGGTCCCACAGCTACAGCAGCAGCAATTGCCGCTCAGAAACAGAAAACGCTGCTTCAGCGTGTCGACACTGATATAAACAACATGGTGGACAACTTTAATTTTTTGGTTGATGTAGCAAGGGTAAGTTAGCCATCCTTTATTTGTTCTAAATATAGAAAGAGGGAAAAAACCATCCTTTGTTTTTAACTACTGATTGTGATTCTTGGGGATTTTGATGGCCTGATCATTGTGACATGGAGTTCTTCTTCCTGACCATCAGGTTAGGAATTTGATACCCAAATTGTGCAAAATAGTAAGAATAATTCTCTCTTGGAAAAGTTGCAATTCTTTAGAATAAATTGTTGTTTTCTTTTGGCCAAAATTAAGACTTTTATTGTGGGTTCTTTCTTAGGAGGAGCTATTGCACCATGCACTGATTTTGGATGCTTATTGAGGTGTTGCGGATTTAAAATGCTTACCCTTGCTACCACTAGTTTCTGAATCAACCTAAAAAATGAAGAAAGTACTAAATATTTTAAATCATACACAGATCTATTTAGTTTTTCCCTTGGAATCACCCGTGCAGGTTAGTTGATGCCATTCTGTTATCCTTTTTTGCCTTTTCTAGATTTGAGAAATTAAGAGAATTGAGAATTTAAGCAAGTAAGCCTGGCAATTGCTTTATGCTTTATGTCAGATCTTTGTTTAAATTGTTACTCATCTTAAAATGGTTTTGGAGGAAGGTTTTGAGGTTGGATTCAGTGGATGAAGAGGTTTCCATCAATGGGGAGCGAACATCATACTTTAGGAAGGGTGAGACTGAACCAAGCATTCACGAGAGCAAGGGAAAAACAAGAAAAGAAAAGTGGAAGAGAAGAGATTGGCTAGGTTAGGGAGAAAAATGCTAGAGGAAGAAGCAAGGAAATAGAGATGAGGTTCCAAGGCTTGCTGAGGAAGACAGGTGGTTAAGGGCATGACCAAGTATAGGCTATGAAGGCAAAGGAGAGGGAGTCAACACTAGAATGAGAAAAGGTCGGGAGAGAGTAAAAGGCAGAACAGAGACGGCTGGCAGAAACTAGGACAATGGCTCATCCACCTCAGATAGGGAGGATATCAAGAATTCATCTCTCTTTATGTCTCTCTTAATTACTTTCTCCATCTCTCTCAAACTTCTTTACTTGTTTCTGAATCTGATTCTAGCTGTTTTCATTAGGTTTCGGAGTGAATTTCTTTGTTATCAAGTCTTATTCTTTTCATCCCTAAGTCTCTTCATATTTTTGTAACTATCGATTGGAATTCTTTGTTTACATTAACAATGAATGTTGCAACATTGTGTCAAGCTCAAATTTTCTTATTTTTCTTTCAGAGAATTTGAATTCATCCCTCTAATATCTATAACCTACAGAGATGCAAAAACAAGAGGAATTCTTCTCGTTCTTCATCTCTCCAGAATTTTACTTTCATGGAAATATTCTATACAGCTGCAAAACTTCATCAGAATCAGGGCAATTCATAAAGAATTAGGTTTTCTCAGCAAGAAATGTTGAATTTGTGAGATTCTTGGCAAAGATGGTAATGACGGTTGGTCTCCTAAAGCTACCATAAAAGCCCAATTTTGAATGTGTTGAATGTAAATAATGGTTCACTATTTGGCTCTCAAAACTCTAGTTCTGAGAAGAGAGAACCATTGCAATGTGATCATTTTGGTACTTGGCCAATTTGTTGAAAGGATATGCACTCCTAAAGTTATGTTTTTAATAGGATAGCTTTGGAAATTTAGATATGTATGTTAAGATTAGATGGGTTTGATTGAGATACGTGTTTGATTCAATAAGGATTAGGATAGGCATAGTTTGGATGTCCCTTATCTCATTACATAGATCTGTAAATTGTGGGTTTCATGTGGATGAGAATTGGTTGATTAGATAGAAAAGAAAGGTGATTTGAAGTATTAGGGTGCGAGTCAAAGAGAATAGAGAAAGAAGAGGGCCAACAAGCCTTGTTGCTAGTAAGAATAGAGATTGAAAGAGAGGCCACAGTGCCTAAAAATAAGAGTCTAGACTCTAGAGAGAGTTCTAGAGAGGGAAAGAGAGTGTAAGTAGGACACTGAGGCCAAAAGTTTCAATTTTTTTTTGGAGTTGAAGTCCTCTTTTCTCTCTCCTCTACATTAATCTTCACCCTCCTTTCTTTCTCTCCCCCCATGAACCTTCCCCACCTTTCTCCTTTTTCCCCTGTTAACCATTTCCCTCTCTCACTCTCATGGGATAGAGAGAGAAAATGGGGGAAAAAATTGATGGGGCAGCGAAGGCTAATGGGGGGGGGGGGAGATGACAGGATTACAAGGGGAAGGGATTGGGACTGTGGGGGGTGAATACGAAAAAGAAAATGGCAATTTGGGGAAAGAAAAAGCTAAAAAAAGGAGTGAGGGGGTTACTTGACCAATTTTTCAAAACATTTGGGGGGTTTTTATGGGCTACCCATGGACTCAAGGGTGTGTATAGGACCATAAGTTTAGATTGGGTGGTGGGGGGGTGGGTTATGTCTTTTTCCCAAATTTTTATTTAAGTCGGTTTCTTCGAAGAAGTGGAGAAACTCTTAACATGTTAACATCAAGTGCCATAGGTCTTGAAGTTATCACATATGAGAATTATGGAATTGGAAAATATGGTTGGGAAGCTAATTTGATAGGGAAAGGTCTTGTGAGGTGTACTCGATGGTACTGAACCTAGACCAACTGCCCAAGACAAACTTGTGGCATGGAAAATGCATAATGAAAAGGTGCTATGCGTAATCTGAATTTTGTGTGGATCAGATGTGTTCTCTAATATAAGGAATGTGGAGATGGATACAGTAGCCTTAGACCCATTAGCCACTCTACATGAACATGAAGTGATGCGAGAAATACTTTTTAAATCAAAGCTATGAGCACGTAAGGCAATGACTCCATCACTGAGTACTTTCGAAGAGAAGGATCTTTATGATCCATTAGAAGGATAAGCATCATCAACAAGGAGAATGACACTCGAGTTGCCTTGAGTTTGATGCCATGAGGTGTTGACTCAAAAATCCAAGCCAACCATGCCAAAGGCTATAAGCCTATTGCATCGAGAGGTAGCACCCATTGAAAGAAGAAAAATTTGGACCCAAGTGCGTGTTCCAAGGAAATCAAGGAATAGAATGAGCCGTGTTTACTTAGTCTTGTATGAGGTTTTCTGGTAGAGGAAGATATTGTGATTCATGAAGGCCCCAAACTAATGAAGAGACCACAACCTCACAATAATGAGCAATGTGAGTCTCATAAAGTGACTAGAGCAACGAAATGGTCCTGCCATACTTGTGGGAAAGTTGGATGTTATGCCAAAGATTATTGGCATAACCAACGAAATTATGTTGCTAAGGGAAAACCAGTGGAAAAAGAAGCTTATGAGGAGAAAATAGAAGAGGCACTTTGTGTTAATCATGTGAATGAAGGAAAAGAACAATGGTTCGCAGATTCTGAATGTTTGAATTATATGTTGGATCTTTAAGATTTTCAGAAGTAAATAGAGCTATATCAACATGTACGTTGGGTTTTGAACTCAATCAGAAATATCCACAAACATATGGCATGCAATTCTTATCAAAATACCCACAAAAAGTTGCTGTAAATTCTTTGGAACTCCAGAGGATATACAAATATCACTAACTTGGTAATCCACTAAAGAATCTCAACCTAAAAATCAATTGCAACTATCGATAAACTCTTCTAAGCAATTCCAATAGAATTTCCAGCAAGCATGCACTCATCAAAAACCCATCATAAACCATTCCAACAATATAAGATAATGCCCAATACCTTTTCCCTTGCTCATACAATATTTCTCAATCTTCTTGTAGTATTTCTAGATGTAAAAGACGAAGAAGAAAGTTGGAACAAACTCACCAAAGTCGTATGAATTTACAGGCACGGTTTGATGGCCTTTCTAGAGAGAGAATGTTGCTAAAAATGAGTTTTCCAACAATATATAACACAAAATAGAATACAAGTTTCCTGCAAAACAGCTGTTAGCAAATAATCTAGAGAGAAAAGCTTCTTCGAGATGCAACACGATGCTAGATTGATCCTGTGATACTGGAGGGCTCTTACAGAGATGAGAGGCACGTCCCTTGCACCCAGCTCACGAGGAAGCATAAGAGAGAACAAGAAGTTTTAGGGAGAGAAAGATAGCTCGTTCTTGGTGCTCCAGCCTTCTAAAACCATTTCCATAAATATAGCTACAAAAGGGAAAAAATAAAGAGACACATGTAGAGAGAGAAATAACAAGTGTTGCCTCTCAATAGCCACTTGTCCCTCTCTTCACATGGGTCTTTCTTATTCTCTACACAAAGCACTAGCTTATTTTAAAATATATTTTAAGTAGGGTAGAAAAGAAAAGAAATAAATCAAAATTTTTGGGCCCTTAATTTGTAAATATGTGGAAACACAATTTTCTCTAACATTATATTACGCCAAGAGGCGATCACTTCGCCACCAAGGCACCCTTGTCTGACATGCTAGGAGTCATGCCAAGGGACAACCCAACTCTAGAAGTGAAAGGCAAAGGAAATATTATACTATAAGTGCCCAATAGAAATATCAAATGCCTCTCCAATGTCCTGCATGTTCATAGACTTAGGAAAAATCTCATGCCTATGGGACAATTGGTAGATGAAGGCTTTCATGTCGTTTTTGGTAAAAGAGGCTGTGAAATCCAATTAAAGATGGGAGAATCATCACCCACAGAAAGAAATTTGGTCGTTTATTTGCTAACTTATGACACAAGAGAATGGCATATATATATATATATATATATATATATATATATATAGGCTAAAAGACATGACAAGTGAGAGGTAGTTTCTGGGATGCCCATGAATCAATTTGATGGGAATCATATTTGTAAAGCATGTGGTTTTGCAAAGGTTATAAAACAGCCACTTTTCAAATCTTCCTCTACAGCAAAACACCTATTTGAGATCATCTATAGTTTTGTACGCTGTTTCTTTCATTGGCAATTTTTCCAAGGACATGTGGATTTATTTATTTTTGTTGTAAAAGTATTTGGGTACTTTGAAAGAATCCAAAATGCTTGTACAGAATGGGTTCAATTTATCAATTAAGAAATTCATAATGGGCGATGTTGCAAAATTTATGTCAGTGGGATTTGATGATTTCTTGAAAAGCAAGAGGATTCAATGGCAGCTGACATGTCGAAAAAGGGGATTGCTGAGAGGAAAAAAGTGACGGATCGTGGAAGCCACTTGTGCAATGTTGAAGAAAGAACTTGCCTAAAGTATATTGGACTGAGACAATATATAATGCAGTGTACTTGATCAGTTGCATACCATTGAGAGATGGAATGAAGCTGTCATATTAGCTTCCCAAAAAATAAAACTGATATTATATGTCCTTAGGTTTTCAGATAGATAGTTTATATAAAGCGTATCGATATGGGTCATAATGACAAAGCCACAAAATGCATCTTACTTAGGTATCCATTGAAGAGAACAGTACATTGGTGCATTAATTCCGTAACCCACCACACCAATGCAAATTTCTTGATCATGTAAAAGAAATTTGCATTGGATGTACTTAGAACGTTCATATTGATGGGTTCAAAGCCACTTCCTTGATGTGAACCAAAAGTTGTAGGGGTTTCATAGAAGATCTGAGGCCATAAAAATAGATTATGGTTAGAAACTCTCCTAACCTCAGATTTAGCATATACGGTGGGATCGTGACTCAGTTATTATAAGAGCCAACAAAACTACAAATGGATGTACTATGTGAAGACAACCATCAATGAGTGTGTGTTCCATGAGAAAGAACTTCTTATCATGTTATTGGGTTACTATGATGCTGATTGGGCAAGAGAGAGTTTGGGATATAGTTTCAGTCTGGGATTTGAGGTGTATCATGGGCAAACAGGAAGCAGCTTACAGTAGCATTGTCATCTACAAAACCTGAATATAGAGCAGCCACGATGGCCACATGCAAAAGTGTGTAGTTGACCTAGTTGCTCAAGGTGCTTGGACAAGCAATGGTCTATACTGTCCCAATTAGCAACGACAACATCAGTTCAATCATGTTGCCATCATATCTAGTCTATCATGCTCATACGATCACATTGAGGTGCACTATCACTTTGTTCATGAGGTGTTAAAGAAGTCAACTTGATATGCATACTAACCAGTGAATAAGTGGCTGATCTGCTTGTCTATACTGTCCCAATTAGCAACGACAACATCAGTTCATTCATGTTGGCATCATATCTAGTCTTTCATGCTCGTACGAAGCACATTGAGGTGCACTATCACTTTGTTCATGAGGTGTTAAGGAAGTCAACTTGATATGCATTCTAACCAGTGAATAAGTGGCTGATATCTTCACCAAAGCATTGGAGAAAGAGAAGATAGTGAAGTTGGAGCTACCCTCGAGCATGAATAATGCTGGAAAGACTTAGCTCGTAAGGGGGTATTAAAAGGATAAGCATTGTTAAGATTACATTTTTAATAGGATATCTTTGGGAATATATTAGACTTAGATAAGTATGTTAAGATAGGTGGCTTTGATTATAACAAGTGTTTGAGTTCTATAAGGATAAGGATAGGTTTAGTTTGGATATCCCTTATCTCATTTCATAGGTCTATAAATAGTGAGTGTAACATAGATGGAAATTGTTGTGATGAGAAAAAAAAGAGTTTGTATGACATGAGTTCCTAGGGTATGATTTAGAGATAGAAAATAAAGAGAAGAGGGCCCCTTTGCCTAAGGGTCTACAAAGAGAAAAATAAGAGTCTAGAAGGAGATAGTGGTAGAGAGAGAGAGTGTGCGTGTAAGCAGCCCACCGAGGCCAAAGGTATTTTCGCAGAGTAGAAGTTCTCTTTTCACTGGAATTTCCCTTATGTGCATGGTGATAGATCAGGCCGTTAACAGCCAAAGTTTCCGTGTATAACAAAATTGATGAGAGAGGAAGTGCAGTACAGAGAGAATCATGGGATCTCTTACAGGCAGCTGTGGTGAATTATTATGAAAAAGGCAGGCTTCTTGAGTCTCAAGTCAAAGAATTAAACTTAAATGACTGTAATTGTGCTCAAGCTAAATGGGATAAGATGGTTTCTGCCTGCATTTTCCAGCTTTCTTTCTCTATGGGATGACTGTTTCATCAAATAGCTTCCTGTGTTTTCCTGCAATTTTACCTCAAGCATTTGCCGGCATCACCACCAGACTCAGATGGCCCCCTGCCTTTTCCTGCAAATATCACGGCACTTAGGAACTGGGTGAGAGATGATTCTGGCAATTTTTTTAGATGAGAAAGGATAGTCTATTTCCTTTGATATGAAAAAGGCAGGAACTACGCATGAGTTCCATTTTTCGATGCAAGAAGGGGTCTACAGGGGTTAGGTAGACCTGAGGGTCTGTGTGGACTGCAAATTTTACATAGGACTATATCATTTTCCTTTTTTTAAGGGATAGTAGCAACATCTACTCATGATATGAGGCACACAACTGAGACATGCACATTCAAAATGAGTGAGCCACTTTCATCAGCTACAGTGCCATACATGAGCAGGGTCAAATGGTGGATGTGCTGCTGGTCTACCATGCATGATACAGCTATATTTTTGCTGAAATTTTTATTTATTTATTCAGCTTCATGGGCATATGCCTCTTTGCCTTTATGGTTATATGTGTTTTTTCGGCGTATGCACTCCTTGTGACCTAATTACTTAAGCAACCAATCGAACCCGTGTCTTTGTAATTCAAGTTACTTTTCCATCTTTTCTTTGTGCATATAATCATTATGTCAGGAGCTCAGAATGTTGGGATTCTCTTGCAGGTAAGCGATCAACCATTCAGAAACTCGCAAGAAGCATTCCAGATGGAGATTCGAGCTGCCAGGGTGGTAATTTTCTTTTACCTCTGATAAATTTTGCTTTATTGATGGAGGTTATTATTTTTGTTATTTATCTTGGCCATGGGCATTTGGAGCTCATCTCAGTTCATGCTGTTACCTAAGGAGGCAAAACAATACATTAATGCCTATGCACGCCTGCATAACTTGTACTCCTGAAGGTTCAAATTTTGAACTGGTGCCTGGAACCTTGTGACTAATTTAGCTTCTGTACAGAACTTAAAATTAAATATTGGGTTATCTTTAAATAAAATGATGTCTCAGGCTGTATTTTGAGATTCCAAGTTTCTTCTTTACTTAACCATTGTCCTGATCATGCATGTATTCCAAGCACTCGTTTGATATTGGTGCCATTGCTGTTGCAATGCTAACAGGTTCAGGCAGCCGACTCTCTACTAAAGTTAGTTTCAGAGTTGAAACAAACTGCTGTCTTTTCAGACCTCGGATCACTGAATCAGAATGTTGAGCAGAGGATATCAAAACTCGACAATCTCTCTGAAGAAACAAACACTTTGGTTATGAGGGTTGGAGAGGAGGCAGCTGCAAGCTTGAGAGAGCTTGAGTCCCACTATTATTCCTCACTTCATAGGACAGGTGATTCACTAGAGTAACATATCAAAATCATCAAGCTCAAATGCGACCACAATTTGTCAATTTAAAGGACTGCTGGTTCAACAGAGTTGTATGTGGGAATTGTATGTGGACTTCTTGGGCTGTATTCCAATCTGTTATTTGAAGGTTCAATACGACATTGCCTAGGAAGCTGGCACAGAGGATTAAAAGAAGATGCTCCATATACAGCAAACAGGAACATAGTAACGAATGGAGAAGTCGTGAAAATGTGTATTAAAGTTCTCCTTTAATTGATGCTTCGCAAAGGAATGTAACGACTGCACTTTTTAGCCAGGGGTTGGATAAAGATGCAAAATCAGCAAATATCCAAAACGTGGTAGCATGAATATTTCTTGTTCTTGTTATATGTAAAATTGAAGAGGTGCACTGATGAGTTCAGTCAGCGTGCTTTGGATTCCTATGAAAGATGAATCCTCTGTGGGTGTATGAAGATCGAAGTGGCTAAAATTGTACCTGGATACGTCATCTGATCCTTGAATGTTGGATGTGAATTGCATATGTTTCCTCCGAAATGTTGTTTTTTTTACAAAAATGTAACACTTTATTGCTTAAAATGCATCTGATAACAATCCAATTGCCAATTAGATATTACATCAAAAAATATAATAAAAAAGCAGCAAAAAATCAATAAAACTACATAATGATTAATCCATCAGCAGTTACTCCCATCTTTGAAGGAGCGTCAGCTCCCATATTGTTCTTTCGATATGCATAAACAATAATGCATTTCATATCTATAAAACAGTCGTTTAGTTCCCTTAATAATCCAGTCAAAACTTATGTAATCCATCTAATTACATTCATTGAATCTCCTTCCACTGTCACCCTCTTGTTGATTTCCTTTGCCACTTCCAACACCCAGAAGGGAGATCTTAGCTCAGCCTCATTAGCTGTATTGACTCCCACCGAATCATAATATTTCTTTAGCACTAGGCCACTGCATCTCTAAGAAGTTCACCTATCCCAGTTAGTCTAGGATTCCTTTGTGAGCTCTCATCAAAATTTAGTTTGATCTAACCATCTAAAGGAACTTCTTGGACTCCCACCGTAATCACTTTTACATATCGGTCCCTGAGTAAAACATCCACATTTTACATTAAATCTACATGAGAAACACCCCACCACTCCTCTCTAACAGCCATTCTACAACTGTTAAACTGATCTTTCCACAGATATGGTTGGCATGAAGATAGTTATAAGAAAGTAGAAATATTCTCCATTTGCCAGTTATGTGGTGAGGTTGTCGAAGTGAGCTCGCCAGGATATATTATGAACAAAAGAAGTTGTATTTGGCCTAGGATGGTTAGCATTAGAGAGACATATTTTGCTAGTGAATCAAGGTTAGATAAAAGATTCCTAGCAAGTTAATTTTAGAGATCTACGGTTGGCCAACAAAAGATCCTTCAAACAATCCCATTCTACAATTTAAATGGAACGAGAATAATCCTCATTCGTAGTCATAACCTGTGTGCTTTCATCTAAAATTAACTCCGAGGGCCTTGATTCACCTTGACATGTCCCTCTAAAGGCGAGTTTGGATTCACTGAACAGGTAATTGAATTTGACAGAACACAAAACGGCATTCCCTCTTGTAATCAAATTTAGGGGCTTCTTGGATGTTTTCTTCGGCAGACCAAGGCTTTGCCGTTACTGTGTAGTTTGCGCAATTCTCACAAACTAGAAATTATTGTGCTAGGTAGTCAAACCCAACAGCTCATAATACTGTTAGTAAGTAATTGACAGTGAGGATATTAGGCAGCAGTTTATATCTTAAAACTCCCATTTGATATTGAACAGTACGTCATTCCTCAAAACTCCCATTTGAAAAAGTCTTGCTTCCTACTTGCTACGACCTTTAGAATCTTACTAGCATTGCGGTGGACGTGGGTGAATACTTTTTGCTAGCATTGCTGCGTAGGACGTTGAAATGTGGATGGTTTCCTACTTTTTGCTCATCAATTATTTATGCTAGTCTCTACTGAATTCGAAAAAAAATTGATTCTAACCAAGTGATCATCTTGACTTCAAGATGTATGGATACGAAAAAAAATTGATTCTAACCATTAAAATTAGTACATTTTTAAACGCATTATCTAGACCTCAATTTTTAGGTTTTCAACTATTTATATATCTGCTTGATTTGCATATTTCAGAAGCTTTAAATTTTATAACGAGTGAAAATTGGTTTTTAGGCCATTGAGGTGACCAGGCACCGAAAATACATTTTTCAAACATGATTTGGAGATGCACCTTGTTTTACTTGTTTAGGGTTTGAGGCCTCATACAAACCACGCCCAGTAAGTGCTTGGGAATGCCACATTGATTCTAGAATGCTGAGCTCTATTGGGGAGCCAGTTATACAAATATTCTAATACAAATAAGATGCCTGGAATCTTCCTTCTTTTCTTTTTTTTGTTTAATACAAGATTCAAGCAACCGAAGTGGGTTTCTACAAATTTAATTTCCTGAGCATTTAATGAAGATTTATTTTCAATCAAATCAGTGTATTCAATCCTGTTTTACGTAAGAATGAAATGGAGAGATGCAAAATTGTCAAAGGCTTAGAGGTTCCCTGTGCCTCTGAAAATACATTATTTTATTTGGACACTGACAATGTTTTATTTGGATAATTTAATGATGGATAAACTGTTAACATTTAAAGAAGAAAAATACTTATGAATATGCAGGAAGATGAAGAAGGAAGTCGATATACTGATGCCTTAAACTCGCAATGCAGCAAATATGTTCACTCAGAGTTGGTAAATCTATCAAACATGTTCACTTGGAGTTGGTAAATCTATCAAAGAATGCCATAATGATGTGGATTACAATAAGGCAGTATACCGAATATCACCTCGGACTTGGCCGAGTGCTGCACACAGAAGGAAAAGGAGGAAGATTGGGAGACGTAATGTGGGGAGAGAGAGAGAGAGAGAGAATCATGGGTCCCTTTTTCTCTTTAACTACTTCTTTCTCAGTACTGTTTATAACTCACAGGATGTCTTGCTTGAATTTTTGAATCCCAATGGTAGGGAACGCCGGGAGGAAAGAAAATGGGAGTTATACAGTATTGGAAAAAGATTCGGATGATTGGAAAGTGGTTGGAAAAGGAGAAAATCATTTGGTAACTTTGGTTCAGTCTTTTTTTTCTTTTTTTTTAGGTTTCAACTTTTATTTTTAATTCTTTTATTAGAGAATTTTTACTCGCCTAGCCATTAGGGGAGGCCGAGTCACAATGCATCGTTATAAGGCGGGTTGAACTATGGGAGATATGTAAGAAAGAAATAGACTGACATTCGAGAATAAGACCTGAAAAGTTTGATGCAGGGAGAAAATAATAAATAAAATTAAAAAGATTAAGAAATTAATCCTTCTTTTTTAGTCTGTAAGGGAGGTTATCTTAAAATATTTTCACGAGATCATCTTAAGATATTTTCACAATATCAATTTCTTTTTTTATTTGCCAGTAACCTCTCTCCATAAAGAAGATCTTCGTTTTGTTCCCTCATTAAAGTTGATGATACTTTCATCAAAGTCATAGCGTAGCTGATTGAGCCGTGCATAAGCCCTTTGGATGTGTAGACAAAGATTGCTTGATGTATAAGATAAAAAAAAAGGTTTCTATAATGTTGCAACCTTATACTACATAAATAAGGTATATCTCAAACCCAAAAGGAGAGACTATTCTAAAGTTGGAAAATCTTCAAGTTGACCATCTAGGCCTCAAGATCTATAGAGAAGAAGAAAAAAATAAATTGGAGTACTAAAGATAATGCATCTTGTAATATATTATCTGGACCATCTAATTTTAAGTTTCTCACGTGCTTATAGATATTCTCGATCTGCATCTTTCTAAAAATCTTAAATTTCATAATTAGGAATAAACATAAATCTTTAAGTTGTCTTAACGTTTCAGACACTAAAAGTCCATCTTCTAACAAAATTGAAGGTACACTTTGCTTATACAATGTAAGGTAGGCACCTTATGCAAAGAAGTTTGTACCACCATGAAACAACAGAAGAAGAGCAAATAAAACAAAGAAAGGAAAAAGACATATACCTCCCTCTTTAAGAACATAATCCAAACATATCCCTCTCTAAGAACATAATCCAAGTAAAACCCTTGATCCTATAGAAAGCCCCCAGAACCCCTCAAGTTAATAAAAAAAGAAAAGAAAAAAAAGGACTTTTAAGAACACATCTCTATTCAATAGTTTTATTATGATAGTTTTATTCTCCAATGAGCGAAGATTCAATAGATGAACTGTAAAGCTACAATGAAGCTATTAGCTCACATGAATCAGTTGAGTGGATTCAAGCCATGGATGATGAACTTGATTTTATTAAAAGAAATCAAGTTTGGGAGCTGGTTGACCTCCTTAAAAATAAAAAAGTCATTAGTTGCAAATGGGTCCTAAAGAAAAAGCTTAAAGCAAATGGATTCATTAATAAATATAAAACTAGGTTGGTAGCTAAAGGATTTATTCAAAGAGAAGGTATAGATTATGTAGAGACTTAGTCTCTAATAGTAAAATTTTCATCTATTAGGGTTATTCTAGTATTAGTTGCATATTATGATCTATAGTTATTTCAAATGGATGTTAAAACAACTTTATTGAATGGACAATTAAAATAAGATATATACATGAGACAACCAAAAAAATATGTAATTAAAGGCCAAGAAGACAAAGTATACAAACTAAAGAAATTTTTATATGGTCTAAAACAATCTTCTAAGCAGTGGTATTTTACTTTTCATAACGCAATCACTTAAATTGGTTATGAAGCCAATATATTGTACCTTGGCATATATGTCTGAAATAGTGGGAGCAATTTTGTTATCTTATCATTATATGTGGATGGCATTTTTCTAGCTGGTAATGATATTGACATGATTAACCATACCACAAATCATAGTTAAGTTCTCATTTTGATATGAAAGATATGGAAGAAGCCTCATATATATTAAGCATTAAGATAACCAGAAATAGAAGTTCGAGACTTTTATGTTTATCCCAATAAAATTATTTTAAAAATTATTTTAAAGACATGTAAGATGAAAAATTACAAGCCCATAGATACACTTGTTTGTCAAGGCTTAAAATTGTCAAAGAAATTGTGTCCATTAAATGATAGTGACAAAGCTAAAATGGAAAGAATTTAATGTGTTCAAGTTGCAGGATGTATAAATTGTGTCATGTTGTATACAAGACCTAATTTGAGTCATATATATGGTCTTGTGTTTAGATTTTAGAGTAATCCTGAAATAATCATTGGCAAGCCGTAAAAAAGATATTTAGAAATCACAAATTGTGCTTCGAAGCTGATAATGCAAGAGAACATGATGATAGAAAATTAACCTCATGATTTGCTTTGGAGGTAGATGTGCTTATTGGTTTAGTAAGAAACAAGGTTGTGCAGCTCGATATACTATGGAAGCCGAATATATTGCTTGTAACGTTGCTACAACATATGCCGTTAGGATTAAATGCCTTA